CCAGCATACACTTTTGGCCCCTTTGTCAAAGATCTAATAGCTTAATGTGTCTGGGAAATTTTCTACATCCTTAATTCTGTCCCATTGGCCCATGTATCTGTTTTTGTTCTAGTACCATGCAATTTTTATCACTAAAGCTTTGTAGTATAGCTTGAAGTCTGGTATAGTTATGCCATCTGCTTTGCTTATTTCCCAAAATGCTATTCTGGATCTCTTCTAGTTCCATTTAAGTTTAGGATTTTTTCTCAATCTGTGAAGTATGCTGTTGGTATTTAGATTAGGATTGAATCTGTGTAATAGTTTTGGAAGTAGGGCCATTTTGATAGTATTGAATCTGCCTATCCAGGAGCAGGGGACGGCATCTTTCTGTTTTCTGATGTCCCTTTCCTCTCCTTATTGAAAATACTGCATTTTTCTTTGTAGAGGTCTTTCACTTCTTTGTTTAGGGTCATTCCTAAGTAGTTTCATTTTTCTTTAAGGTACTATGAATGATACTGTTCTCATAATTTCCTCTTTATCCTGTTCATTGTTTGCGTACACAGATGCTAATAATTTTTGTGTGTTGATCTTATATCCTGCTACATTTTGAAATTTGATATTATAAGAGGTTTTTGATGGTGTTCTTTGGGTTTTCTGTGTAGAATATCATATCAATGATAATTTGTGTTCATCCTTCCCTATATCTATCTTTTTCTTTTCTTTCTTTCTTTTTTTTTTCTTTTCTCTTGCCTAATTCCTCTGGCTAATGCTTCAAGTACTACATTGAATAGAAGAGGTGATAATAGACATCCTTATTTTGTTCCTGATGTTAGGGAGAATGCTTTTAGTGTTGCCCTATTTAGTATCATGCTGGCTCTTGATTTGTCATATATAGCTTTTATCATATTCAGGTATGGTCCTTCTATATTTGTTTCTTCAGGGTTTTAAAAAAAATCATAAATGGTATATCAGATTTTGTGGAAAGCCTTTTCACCTTGTTTTTGATCTTCTCTTTATAAAATGTATTACATTTATAGACAGGTGTGTTGAACTATCCTTGGATTTTTGGGATAAAACCTACTTTATTATAATGTACAATCTTTTTTTTAATGTACAATCTTTTTGTAATGCACTGAATTTCATTTCTAAAACTGTGTAGAGGATTTTTGCATCTGTGTTCATTAAGGAGGTTGACTTACCGGTGTTTTTCTTTTTTTAAGTTGAGTCTTTTTCTGGTTTTGGAATCAGTGATACGTAGTGACTTCCGTAAATGAGTTTGGGAGAATTCCATTCCTTTTAATTTCTTTGAAGAACTTGAGGAGTATGGAGATGTAACATCTCTGCAGGCTGTATAGAACCCAGTAGTGAAATCATCAGGTCCTGGATTTTCTTTTAGTTGGTAGATTACTTATTACTATATCAATTTCAGTGCTTGTTATTGGGTTATTGAGCTGTTTATATCTTCTTGGATTACTTTTGATAGTTTGTGTGTGTCTAGGAGTCTGTCCATTTCTTTAACAATTGCTAATTTGTTGAAATACTTTCTGAAGTAGTTACTGTCTTCCTGGATTTCCACAGTATCTGTTGTGATTTCAAGTTTTCCATTCCTACTTGCATTGATGTGAATCCTTTTTGCTTTGTCTTGATAAGTCTGGCTATGGACTTAATCTATGTATATAATTATATAAATCTGTATATTATTTATTATAAGAAATTATATAAAATCAGTATATAGATTATATATAATCTATATTGAAGAACCAGCTTTTCTTTTTGTTGGTTTGTTTTTAGCTTCTCAATTTCATTCATTTCTGCTCTCATCTTTATAATTCCCTTCTTAATTTTGTTGTATGGCTGATTTTTTGTTGTTTCTCAAGTATCTTAAGTTTTCTTATAAGCCTATTTGAGCTTGTTCTGTTTTACTAATGTGAGCATTTTTTGCAATACATTTTTCTCTTAGAATTCCTTTCATACTGTCTATGAGTTATACATACATCATTATCATTGACTTCCAGAAATTTTTAAATTTGATTTTTTTTCTATGATCCATTGACTATTTAGCAGTATGTTATTAATTTTCCAGAAGCTTTTGTTTGCCTTTTCCAAAATTTCTTCTGTCCTTCATTTCTGTATTTGCTGCACAGTGGTCTGATAGTGTGTATGAGGTAATTTGTATTCTTTTATAGTTAAACAGGCTTTCTGGGCTAGTATGTCACCTGGAGAAAAGTACCATGTACTGCTGAAAAGAACATATACGCTGTTATAAAGAAGTGCCATACTCTCTCTACATATATCCTTTAAGTCCATGTGTTAAAGGGCATGGTTCAGCTTTTTTTTTTTTTTTTGTTTTTTAGGGAAGGGTCAACAAGATGTTCAAGGTCTCACCACTAGATCAGATGGATTTGTAGTGATACCCCTGTTTACAGCCTCCCAAGAGCTGGGATTATAGGCACACACCACCACACCCAGTCTCAATTGCCATCTCAGGGTGCTCGGGGGGAAGGGCTGGCAGGGCAGGCCTAGAGATTGAACCCCTGGCCCCTGCACCTGCTTGCAGGCACTTTAATCTGCTGAACTGCTTAGCCCTTTATTTATTTATTTATTTATTTATTTATTTATTGTTTGATTTATCTTTTTGTAAAAGTGGGGTGTTAAAATCCCCAAACTGATTGTATTAGTGTTTCTTTGCTCTTTTAATTTCAGCAGTTTTTGTTTTATGAACATAGGTGCCCCATTATTTGGTGCACTTATTATATTTATCAGTGTCATCTCTTATTGATGACTAGTATGTAATAATCTTCTCTTTTCTAATCAATTTTAGCTTGAAATTTACCACTTATATCTGATACTAGAATTGCTATCCCTAAAAGGAACCTTTCTTCACTGTTGGTGAAAGTGCATCTAGCACAATCACTATGGAAATCAGTGTGCAGATTACTTAAAAAGCTAGGATTGGAGGTCCTGTTCAACCCAGCTATTCCCCTTCTGGGTATTTTTCAGAAGAACTGAAAACATCATACCCCAGTGTTATATGTGTACCCATGTTTATAGCAGCACAATTTGGCAGAGCTAAATCTTGGAAACAATCTAGATACCTGTTAATTAGGGAATGGATAAAGAAGATGTGGTATTTTTACACAATAGAGTATTATTCAGCCATAAAATAGGATAAATTTGAGGTTTTATTGGTAAATGGATGCAACTAAAGACTATACTCTTAAGTTAAATAAATCAGACCTGCATGAGCAAACATCATATTGTCTCCTTAGTGTGAGAACCTGAAGAGAAAATAAAATCTGAAGAGTACAACAGATACTGTGAAAAGGGAATGAACCTATTCAAAAGGAAGGAATTACTGAGTTGAGGAGAAGGACAGGAGAGATAGTGAAGGAAAGAGGTATGCCTATGTATGCAAGCAGGATGGTTTAGACAACTGTACTATGGATTTATCCTGATCTATAGAAAGGAGAAGTTAATGCTTAGTTTGTTCGTTCTCTCTGTCTCTCTCTGTCTCTGTCTCTGTCTCTGTCTCTGTCTCTCTCTCTCTCTCTCTCTCTCTCTCTGTCTCTCTGACCTTTTTCTCTTAATTTCATATTTTTTTTCTAATTTTACATGCTTTTATCTGGTAATGTGAACAACTGGTTGGAAGAAAACACTGTATTACAACAAATACTGTGAATTCATATTTTGTTAAGTGAAATTCTGTATCACTTGTAATTTTTCTATTTTAATACTATTTTTTACTCTTTAAAAAAAAAAAGAATTGCTATCCCTGCTTGTGTTGGGGGTCATGGTGCTTGAAAAATCATTTTCCATCCTTTAGTTTTTAATCTATCATTACTTTTTTGGATTAGATGAGTTTCTTGAGTGTAACAGATTGTGAAATTCTTTGTTTTCATTTGTTTTGCCATTCTATCTTTTAATTAAAAGGTCATTAACATTGAGAGATTACTGAAATGTGTCTGTTATTTACTACTGTTGTTGTCTTTATCTGTTGGAGTGTCCTTTGGTTTTCTTTTCTTGATTTTTTTTTTTTTTTTGTTAGTTTTTGTGTTTATCTGCTACTATTTTGAAAGGTAGTTGCAGTGTTGGCAGTTATTTGCTCTTAGGGCTTGAAATACTTTTGTCCAATCTGTTCTGGTCTTTAGAGTTTGTGTTGAAAAGTCTGCCATGTTTCTAATTAATTGATTTACCTTTACATGTGATTTTTCTGGCTGCTTTTAAAACTCTCCCCTCCCCCCCAATTTGGTAATTTAATAAGGGTATGCCTTGGTGAACTTTTTTTTTCAACTATAACTTTTTTTTTAAACTATAACTGATGGTTGTTCTATAAACATTACTTATATTTATTTATTTTTTAGTTCATTATTAACTATTGAAAATCAATAATCATATAGCAAAATTAAAAATTGTAGACAAATATTGACGTGTGAAAGATATAAGATGTAGACAGAGTGAATTTTAGAAAAATATTTCTGAAATGAATACATAACATGAGATTAATAATAGATTGCACATTGTAAGAAATTATTTACAAACTTAAGTGAATATAACAATAAAAATTGTCTAAAATAAACGTGAAGAAGATTTTACAGATCAGTCATATAATAGTTCACTCTGTGCCCAAATCAGAAACTTATATTCATGTAATCAGAATTCTCAAAGTAGAAGGGGACATAGATAATAAATATGTAAATATTTAAAATTTCTGAATTTAGTTAAAATTATAGCTCCACATTTCCAAGAAAAATGAACCTTTTGCACAAGAAATATGAATAAAATCATACCAAGATACACAAAAATGAAATTGTCAAAAACTAATCGTAAAGAAAAAAATCATTAAGGCATATACATAGA